ACGCCCCAAGTTCAGATTAAGATGGTAAAGAAATAAGGCTGAACATGCAAAAAGACCTCATTTTTTCCTTATGGGTCAACACACAATAACCGTTAATTCTACTAGTGACGACCATCACAGTCTTCATTTGACCAACATGACAGCAAGGTACCCAGAGCCAAGACAAGAGAACACCCTACGCAACACCCTTTATGTACTCATTATGAGCAAGGTGCCAACTCACACCTTTGTGCCAACGCAGGAAATGAATACATAAAAGGCAAGCTTTAAGGTTTATTTTATTCCTTGCCTTTTTGAATGAATAAGCATCATTTTTTTTAAAAGTGGAACAGATCCAATGATCTTAAAATATGACAAAAAAAATAAAAAGAAAAACAATGGGCAGAAGTAGAATAATAAGATATATAAGAAGAAAAAGAAGAAGTGAGCATCTAACTAAGTTGTAATATTGTTCAGCCTCCTGATGACATCAAACTCTACCCATCAAGATCACCTGGTCTCCCCTGGAAGAAAGTCGGCCTTGATCACAGGAACAGCACTACATTAGGTTTAGCTGCATGAAGACTTAGGGTGCCTTGATGAAACCAGAGTGGGTTAAGGAAAGGAAAGAATTTCCCCCACAACTGTGGGAAAAACTAGCAAGAATCAACAAGGGGTGTAAAACTTCGTTGAGTATTGTTTGCAAGATATTCCAAAAATGAATACAAGGTAGTCTTTTCCTCCCCCCGCAACTCCTGGAAGAAAGATTACGAAATGTTCTTACATCACCCGCCTCATTGCCCAACCCGAGAGGAGGCTCACGTTGTAAAGAGCAGCGCGGGTTGTTCTCTAATTTCTTTCCTTTTTCTGCGGTGGGATGGGGAGACGGCATAAAGTTACATACAAGCCACCGGCAGCACTAACTCATCACACAGAACGCTAGCTTCATGATTCAATCTTGGATGCAAGAAACCCCAAGATTTTTGACAACCTATCATGTCAGTGCACATCCAGTGAAACAGAGAACTGCAGGTTTCCTGGAGGAGAGAGATCCAAAGTTAAAGTCTAAATAAGAACGGAAGAGATGTGACCCACATACTCAAAGCCAAGCTTTGAAACACAAACCGCACTAAATTCTTGAAGTCAACACGAAGGATACTTACCCGTGAGAAGGTTTACTAACGGCAGTGGGGGCTGTTTTTAGCAACACTTCAAGTTTAAAGGCGTCCCAGAATCACATGAAAACCAATAGTCGACTGCTTGCTTCCACAGGTTAATATACACCAGTTATGTTTACTAAGTTGGACGAGAAAAGTTAATAGGTAAATCATGCTCTGATAATCTTAGCTCAGCTGGTTAGAGCCTGGTAAGCTAGTTTGAGCCTGGTGGAAGTGAACCCTCAGTTGCTGGCGTGGTTTTGTCAGTGGCATCAATCACGTTTCCAGAGCCACAGACAACATGCCTGAGACAATAGCCAGAAAGGCAACTAAAGGGAAACATGAGAAGCATCAGGACAAATCTGTCACTACCATGAAAACAAAAACACCACACACAGGTGCTTTTGATGCTGGAATAGAGAGTGGCCATCGTTGTGTATAGTCATTTTCATCTTTCATTATGAAAAGAGTCATCTTCACAGGCAGTCACGCACTGCTTAATGGTGTTTCGGTCAAAGATGGGCCACGGGCCTCATCTACAAGGGTGGTCCCAGGAGGTTACAGTGGGGCCGAAAGATTCCTATTGCCCTGTGATGGTGCAGCCGTCCTAAGGTCAGGGCACAGCACAGTACCTGGGTGTCTATGCCGGCGCTGGAACCGTGCTACTGGTCACACAAAAGGACAGCACATACAATTATGTGCTGTACAGAAGGCTTGAAAATGGTAATAAGTGACTATGTTGCCAGTTTGTATATTTAACTGTTATACTTTTATCATTATTTTAGGGTGTACTCTTTCTCCTTATTAAAAAAAAAAGGTTGCTGCCAACGTTGTGCCTTGTTACACTGGCAGCAGCCTCTCATCTTGTCTTTTGTTTGCATCATTTTCTCTGATTTAATCACAACTTAGTCTCATGTTGTTTTGCACAGCAGCATGCCGCACAGGCTAGGAGCAATGGCCGTACCGAGTGGCCTCGGTGTGCGGCAGGCTGTGCTATCCAGGGTAGCGTGAGTGCGCTCTGCGAGGTTCGCACAACAGTGAGATCGCCTAACACTGCATTTCTCAGGACATATTCCCATTGTTAAGTCGAGAATGAGTGTGTTCCTTACTTGTTTTCTGGGATAGGCAGTACTGAAGCCATCTGTGTATAGGTGTCGTTACTGCATCTAAAATTACAACAAAGCAAAATCTACTCTTAAAATTCTGCAATGGAAGGTTTACAGAATGTAAAAGTAAGTGCAGAATCCCTCTGAAAACGAAGCTACACGTTACGTTTGGTGGTCCGGTGTCTGGTACAGTGTGGGGACTCACTAATTTTCAAAGAAGAAGTAGAAATTTGAAGATAGACGTAACACCCTTCCCCAAATGATAGAAATCAGTGGCATTCGGTCAGCAACGATGACATATAGAGCATGTATTGTGTGCCAGACACTGTGCTACACAGTAGAATGAAAAGTTATTAAGACAGAAAACATTGTAAAGAACAATTCCATTTTTTAAATTAAGGCTATGGCTATGTCTATGTGGTTTTGAATATCCAGATTAAAGATGTAGAAATGAGTTAACCACTTAGATTTTTCAAAACCACTTAGATAAGAACTATTGCATAATTGAAATCAGAAGGTTAACTGAGATTTTTAGTACAGGCATGCCTCAGAAATACTGCTTTTGTTCTAACGTCCAGTAAGTAGTCTATAAGAAGTCAGTCCTTCAAATCAATGTGTTCATGTCACGTTTGGAGAAATAAATCACAACATCAGCGTGTTTTCAAGGTTCTGTTCTGAAAGCTGGTCACTGAAGGACACCCAAATAAAACCAGCAGGTGGCTTTGAACACTTAAAAAAAGTACATGCATTTCTGGATAGGCAGCTATGAAGCAGCAAGCAAAGGTTATCAAAACAGCAGGGAAGAGAGAAACTAGGCTACATAGAGAAGTCACCCAAGGAAAATGCGAAGGGAAAGCACATTTGAAAAAGTGGGCTGTAAACAGATGAAACGACCACAGATAGGGGCCCCAGGTCCACCAGCAGAGCCCGGAGGCACGCGGCGACTTGAGGAAGGAAGCACAAGAGGAGAACAAAAGCTGGGCCCTCCAAAGAGGAGGCCCGCTCTCACTCTGCGAAGGTGAGCAGGCCTGTCGTGGAGAGCAAGAACCATGAGCGTGACGATTCCTCAGGTCCCTATGTTCACATGACAAAAACAGAGGAGATTACAAGATGGAAAACTGCGGAGTCTTCTGAACTGTTTACACTCCAACAGCTACCAGGTCTCCCCTTCCAGCCTCTGTTCTCCTTTACTGGCTCCTGACAGTGATACAGGGCTTTGCTGACGTACGCAAGAGGCCAAGGAATCTGCTAACTGAGTCCTTGTAGATATCACCCAGATTTTACTCTGGTCTCCACGGCTGTGGCAAACTCTGAAAGATTAACATGCCTTAAGATAAATGGCATTCCCTAATCAAGGCACAGCGGAAACCAAGTGAGGGCCAGGGGGAAATGGTGAAAAATCCTAACAAATGATGGGGCCCCCCAGAGCCAATCTACAGGAGCCGATGAGCAACATTTTAGTAAAAGGAGAAATAAAATATGCTCATGTTCTGTACTGAGAAATCATTTCATGTTAAGCTTCAGTGCAATTAAAGGGGGGAAAAAGGATTGAACATTACAAAAGGGAAAAAGCAACCAAAAGAAAGTACATAAGGAATATTCTTACCCTGTACCTCCCCTAGAAAAAGACCACAAATACAAATGTTTGCAATTTGCTGAAGAGAGAAATACTAATTCTCGGGGAGAAAAAAGGGCGACTGTAGTTTTAAAGACTGGTTGGGGCAAGAATAAGAAAGCACCAAGCCTCAGACAGCCCGAACACTCTGAGTTTATATGTTAGACACCCCCGCTCCAACCCCCCCCCCCTCAAATTTCAGGCCGCTCTGCTGGAATAACATCGGACCACATCCCTTCATTAAGTCCTATAAGTCTTGCCACTTAAGCGCTTTTTTAGGCAACTTTGAATAAATACCTGAAAGTCTGAACAATTTTAATTGCTGAGATCTAGGTACCGTTTCCAGATAGATGACCTGTGAGCTATCTCTTTTCGGTATCTCTAAGACACAATCTCTGCATACGTTACTCCACGGATTGGAGGTAGCGTCAACAGAAGTTGTCAAATTCTCTGCGGGAACATCCCTGGCAATGGGCCTCGTGATTCCCTAAGCATCAGGAATGGCATTTCGAGTTCAAGGCTGAAGACTGCATGAAATAAGCTTTAAAAAGTATAGCCTGCCTCAAACAGGTTTAAAACTGCGCCCACTTACTTTAAAAATACCCCAAACATCACACCACGATGGGTCCCCTTACCTGTCCTGCCAGTCCCAGGTAGGTCTGAGATGTGAAAAGGCTTCCTAAACTCCCAGCGGTGTGTTACATTTAACCCAAGAACCCCAAGGTGGCAGAAGGCGACTTCAGGCACCCCTCGGTGTTCAGGAAGTGGGAGACCCGGTCTGCTCTCCCCGAGAGGGGTGCCCGGGGTCCCTAGTGACAACAGTGGCTACCAGGGCCCTCGCGGAGTCGCCATACCAGACCCCGACGACTGGTATGCCCACCCAGACCCCGACGCCTCCGGTGCCCAGCGGGGAGAAGAGCTGCGGGAGCGCAGCCCCACGGACGAGGGTTCGCGGCAGCAGCCCCGTCTCGCAGGCCCGGGAATCCCATCTCAGCGTCGCTGGAGCGCAGCCACCGGGCAGCTGCGCGCAGCTGGACCTGGGCCCTTGTCGCCCCTGCCCCAGCCCTTCCGCTCCGGCCCGGGAGCCTAGGCGCCCCCATCCGCCTGCGGCCCCTCCGGGAGGCCGGAGACTAGGCAACTTACAAGGGCAGCTCTAGGGCCGCGCCTAGTGTGCGGTGGAGGGTGAGCGGCTGGAGAGTGTCGTGTCCCGCGGCTCCCGGAGGCTGGAGCAGCAACCGCCGCTTGGCTGGACCCGCAGAGAGGAGCGAAACCTCCGCAGCGCTGGAAAAGGCGGCCTGGGCACGTGGGCGCCCCTCTGTGTAGCCTCTCGGTGGGGCGGGGCTCGGGGCCGGGCGGCACCGCCCCCTTTTCCTCCCCCACGCGAGCCCGCCTTCAGCCCCTCCAATCCTGGCGGTAGGCGGCGTCCTGGCGCTGGGGCGCGGGGACTGAGCCCAGCCCGCAGCGGGGACACTCGTGAGCCTGCTCTCGCTTAGGGGCTGATCGGGTCCGAGGCGCTGGTCCCTGCAGGGAGCGAAAGCGGGAGGGTCCCAGGTTTCTTGCCACTCCTGATGGACCCAACCTCAGCGGCCTTTCTGAAGCTGCTTCTAAGAAGCGTTCTTCCTAGTGGGGTTTTTGTCCTGTGTTTATTTTCATTTTCAGAAGAATTTGTAAATAAGAAAATAAGGATAATAAAATAGTATAATTATGATAATACTAGCAAACTCCCAAACGAGTGTGCTTCGCTAAATAGTACCGCTTCGCCTTTAAAAACCATGAAGGTTTATAAAAATTGTGCAGTTGTTATTTTGAAACTCCAGCAATGTGAATGGGTAGTCATGCTTTTTGGGGGTGGACTATAAGAATATGACATTTGCTGTTTCCAACTAGCCAAGGGGACTTGCACGATCAAGGTCTCTCATACTGTGTTACTGTTCACTTCAGGAGTCTCTGATAAGATGAAAATCAAAATGTGAAATTATATTAATTTTTATCCAAAAGGAGGCAACGAGTATATATTATTCTTGTTTGATAGAAAGTTCTACCTTATTTTGTTTTAAATTTTGGTAAATGTCTCTTTATTCATTCACCAGTAATACTATTAACTTTGGCAAAGTTCCAGTCATATTGATGCATTACACATATATTTTTAACGTGGTGCTCTAAATCATTCTTAACTTCTTTAAGACATGTGTTCCCAAGAGAATCTGACTAAAGGTTTGAGGTTTCACCCCTGAAAATGCTACAGGCACAGAATCTCACTGCCTATTTCTGAAGTGCATGTACATGGTGAAGCCATCCATCCACCACATTGAAGAGCTGGAAGTGGAAACAGCACAGTAGCTACAAGAGTATTACCTGTTCTAGTGCATGTCTTATGTAATAGAGGAGACTCTGCCTGTATAAACTTATTTTTACAGTTTAACACAGATCCCCTATGCAAATAATCATCGATGACTGAGGGAAATGATACTGTGCTCCTCGACACCAAATCCACTCAATCCCAAGCCTGGGAGGCATCGCACAGGAGGCTGAAGACACGGCAACTCAGGCTGCTTTGTCTCACTTCTGAGGGTGAAAGGATCTGATCTAAAATTGTCCACTTGTGCTTTTCTAATAGAGGTTGCTGTTTTTAAGTTTAAGAGATTATTTATTCCCTCACATATTTTTATTTAAACACCCTGAAGGGACAGCTTGTGATTAGGTGGCCACATAATGATTTGGGGATAAACTATTTGACATTTAGGAACGGGCAATTTAGGCAGAATACCAATTTCTGAGTCTATCTAGTGATCTGCCTGTTGGAATTGGGTACCTCCTAAAACAGAAACACATTGTGTTCATGTGTGTAAATACTAAAAGCTATTCCGTCTCGAAGGAAAAATGAGTAAGTTCTTTTTCACAAGCTCGATGTTTTATGGCTATCTGGACATGTTAGAATCTTTTATTTCAAACAGGGTAATCCTTTTCCTGTTTGAAATTATTGATTAACTGAATCCTTCATCTGATTTTTGGTTCTTTCCCAACTTTTAAAATGTGTTCTGATGCAGGAAGAATAGAATGGCCACAGATCTAGCAGGAGTCTCTAAACTAAGCTATGACAACCGAGGGAAATTAGAATAGACAATTTACCAACAAAATATTTGAAGTGGATTTAGCTATTTTGACTTCATCTTCATTCACATTTCCTTTCACACTGCTACTGCTGTTCAGAATGGAATTGCCATCTTCTTCCCGGCTGAGGGGTGCCCTCACCCATGTTGTTCCACCTCCACTTCTCTGGAGTATCTCAATTTTCACCGTCATCTGTGAAGCTTCTGGAATCCTAAGCATGAAACAGAAACTGCAACTTTGTCACTTCAGCAGGAGGAATTTAGGTGTCATCTTCCAAATAGTTCAGGGACACTTATGTTTGTCTGAATGCCTAAGGAACTTGAAGGGAACTTCAAAACACTTTCGTAGCTGAATAAATTTCACATCCAGGCCTCCTAAACTTACCAAATACAACCCAAAGCAAAGCTCATGTCCATGAAAGACTGAATGCATTAATTCTTACGAGTTCTAATTTTGACTCCATTATCCCAAAGCTATTTCAGCAAAGGCAAAGCTAAAATCCCCCCAATCCTTGTTTCAAATTGTTGGAAACTGGGTACTGATGCTTGTGTTATAACTGAAAAGGCCTGAAAGAGAAAAAGGACTGGGCTGGAGTTCAGGCCACTAGAATTTCAAGGGCTTTCAGGCCACTGTTGTTCTCCACTCCCCCATCAAAAACATGTAAAAATTAAAGGCAACTTTGCATTGGACACATTCCATATTTGCCCATCCTTTCAATGTAAACAATAAAATATTGAAAAAGTGGTTGGAAAAAATACAGCGAGTCCTTACAGTGACAAATTATCTTTAAAATTTTTTTCCTGCTTGTCTTTTAACTAAGATCAAATAATGGTTTTGCAATGGTTTTCAGTCAGGCACCCTATGAAATTCCCTGCACCCTTCATTTGGCTTATTTATGGGTTTTCTTTACCTTGGCCATTAATCAAGAATCACCCGGAGCTCCACCCACCCTGTGCTGGTCTCTATTTTCTTCTGCCAGGATTCCTGCTGGGCCTGTATTTGCTCAAAAGTCAGCTTTCTCAATCCAAACATCTTCGGTCAGTCTGTTGCTCTAAGGATTGGGAACTGGGGGGTTTAGAAAGAGCTCAGCTGATATAAATCCTTATTTTCTTTTGTTTAGCCTTGACAACGGTTTTAATTGCTCTAGAGATTGCTTCTTAATCATGTCCGATGGTTTTCCTCCATTCTTACCTGCCTCAAATTCTCTCCTGCATTCTGTCCCTCTCTGTCTTGGAATGGTGTCCCACCGTGGCTCCTGTGACCTCTCTGTTTTCTTCCTGTTACCCTGATAACTTTTTGCCCTGCTTGCTAACAACAGAACTTATAAAATGAAATTCTTGAATCATTCTGATCTCCAGTCTACCCTCACAATCTACCTGACAGTATCCATCCCGAAAGCTACTTTGCCAGGTTTCATCTTTCATCCTTGCACCAAATTACGCCTCTTGCCAAGCACCTGATATTAAATGGTTGAAAACAAATCCATCTCTTTTTTAGACTGGTATCTCTCTCTAACTTCCTTTTTACTCTTCTCCTGGTGCTCCAAGTACCTGAAGTTACTGTTTACTCCTTTCTCTCCTTTATTTTTTTATATTCCATCAGTCGCAAAGTTCTGCCACTATTCCTTCCTTTACTCTTTATCACAGGAACAATCTTTTCTCTTGATTTCTATGGATTTATCTCCCAAATTTCTATCCTCATCATGTTAAGACAAGTTATTGCAGTCTTCTAAAAAAAACTTACGGTATCTTCTCATTGATTATAGATTCAAAATAAATTCCTTCTATCATGCTGAGTTCATTTTCTCAGCTTCTCTTTTAGGCCTGTGCTGTCCAACTCTGTAGCCACTAGCCACATGTGGCTCTTGAACATGTGATTTGTGGCTAATCCACATTGAGATGTGCTAGAGTAAAATCACACTGAATTTCAAAGACTTCGTACAATTAAAATCATGTAAAAATGTCTCATTAATAACTTTTTCTTGTTGATTCCATGTTGAAATAATGTTTTGAGATGTATTGGGCTAATTATTCTCACCGTTTCTTTTGACTTCTTTTCAGAGACTGATGTAAAATTTTAAATTACCAATATGGCTCACCTTCTATTTCTTTCGGCTCCTTTAGGCAGTTGATAAGCCTGTTCTGGGCAAGGCACAATGCCTCAGATCAGAGGCATCTTTTAAAAGAAAAGAGTAGTCCAGTCTCAGCCTGCCCTTTACAGCCCAGCTGGGGAGACAAGACATTAACAGTCAATTATTGATACAACCAGAGGGCAAATACTAAGCTCCACAGGGAGCTTAAAGGAGAGAGATGTTCACAGATCCATTCTGTGAAAAGTAGAATTTTAAAAGATCCTAAAAAAAAGAGTGGAAGGAAGAGAAAGGCATTCTGGGCCAGAGAAGGCAGAAGGCACCGAGTGGCTTGGGGTAAAACGTGTAGACCAGATTGCAGGGGGTAAGTGCCAGTGTCTCGGGTCTGCATACCTCCTGTACCTCAGTCACCTCCAGAATGACTTCTTGTCTGCTTTTCATCAATCTCTGTCCTGTTGCTTTCTCCCAGGCTTCACCGCGCTCAGGACCGGACACTACAATAAAAAAGGCACGCCCACAAGGCCAGCCAGGTCTTTGCCCCCTCCTGACCAGGCTTCCAGAAAGCGCGCTTCCAATGCACACTCCTGGACAATGGCCCTGCATGGCGTTTCACCAAGGAAACATTTGCCTTAACTGGGCAAACCTTTGAATGAAGAGTCCAGCCCACATGAAGAACAGAACACAGAGTTGGTTTCCCTTGCCACCTACCTAGGTTGACTAACCATCCCGATTTCCCTGGGACCATCCCTGTTTTAGCACTGAAAGTCCCATGTCCTAGGAAACCACTTAGTCACAGGGAAGCTGGGTGGTTGGTCCACCTTACTTACTCATGTTCTGGGCTCTGACTTTGTTTTTCCTGTCTAGGCACTGGCCTTCTGCTTGTTCCATTTCCACTTAGCAACAACTTCTTGCACAGTGCTGTGAATTCCAAGTTGCAAAACTTGGGTCTCAAAATACTCATATGGAAAGCGTTCCTGTCTAGCACCATCCGATCAAAAAATTAATTCTTTGAGATCCAACACTGAAAAATCAATTAAGTGCTGGTGGTGGGGGGAAGGGACAAGGAGAGTTGGTTCTGTGCCGATCCTGACTTTGATAGATATCTTTATCTGCCTGGCTTAGGC